AGACATACAAAGTATTATTAGCTCTTTTCACAGGTAAGGAAATTAGCATTAATGCAATAAAATGATCTGTCTGAGGCTGTAAAGTTAATAAGCAGGAAGCTGGAATTCCAGGTCTGATTGAGATTAAAAGCCCTATCTCCCCCATCACTTATACTTTATAGCTCTTGAATTTTATATGACAAGATAGGACAACTTTTTGCAAGAACCATTTTCTACAACTTAGAGGAAAGGGGATTAAGAGAGCATGTTACTCTAAAGTCGACTTCATGCATTGCCTGTGGCGTGAGCTCACAAAGCATCAGCAGTAACTAGTCCTCTTTCTACCCTCAGAATCCATTAGCTTAGAAGCTGCTTAACTACCACCAGTCTCAGCCCTAGGTGAGGCCAACATCAACCTCACTGGAGCTCTCAGTAGTCTTCACATAATCCCCTAATACTTGCCACACCTTTGATAATCACTGGAAGCTGAGGGGGAAACCAGAAAACTGCTAACAGGGAATGGTGGCTGTGGCAGTCACCATCGCTCATTGTGCTGGTATTTTTCAGAATCAACTTGGCAGAAACTCCTGAACAAAATACATTTGCTTTGCTTATAACTCACCTACATAGAGATTTTCCTTTTTTAGGGTTAGTCAAAAGCAGAAAGCTAATGTAACACATGACCCCCAAATTCATCTTTTCCTTCACAAAAATATTTGATGATCAAATTATTAAAATATCTTCTGAAATACCTTAATTATGGTATGAAATTTTTCACTATTTAGCACAGAACCTAGAACATGCCATTTTAACTGAAGATAGCTTTAGAAGTCTGTATAACACTCAGATACTATTTTTGATCTTCCACTCAACATTTCATCTATCAGTCACTGCAGTTTCCAGCCTTCATTCCCCTGAGAATTAGGTTAGAAATCATCTGAGGAACATCGGTTCCCGTGGGAGTTTTCCACACCTCTAACAGGGAGGGGTACTGCTCCAGATCAACTTTTCAGCCGGGGACCCCCATCCCTGGCTCCCTCCAAGCGCTTTGCTCGTAGGTGTGCCCCATCAGCTCCTCTAGTTTTTTCTTTGCTGGGAAAGCATAGAAGGGAGTCAGCAAGCTGCTGGCAGCTGTCAGGAGGCACAAACTCCCAAAACTGCCTTTTTTCTGTCACAGTAATGTTTGCTAAGCAACCAAACTGTGACGCAAACTGATTCTTCTACTGCCCCCTCACCAGGATGGCACTGCCACCTTGTATCGTCTTAATAAAAAAATGAAAGAGCTCTCTCAGCAACTTCTTTTAGATCTTCCTTAGACTTTCTTCTCTACAAAGAAAATTGGACTTGGAAAAAAGGTTGCAGCTTGAGATATGCCCAGTGGAATGGTTAGGATCAGTATTTTCTGCAGCTTGAAAAACACTAACAGAGGCCTAAGGCGACAGAGGCAGTATACAGGGAGTGCTTACAGAGTCAAGACAAAATGCTGGGTTCAAGTCTACCTAACAGCAGTGTGAATGAACAAAGGACATAATCCAAAAGCATCTCAGTGTCCTCATTTGGACTAATAGTATTAATGGTATAGGGCTATTACAGTGCATTTAATTCATCCACAGAAACCACCCATCACATCACCAGGTTCAGCAAGGTGTTCAATAAATATCAACTGTGTTCATGACTGTGGTGGCACACATCTGTAATGCCAGCATTCAGGACACTGAGGCAGGAGGATTGCTACAAGTTCAAGGCCAGCCTGAAGTACATAATAGGGCTCTTCCCTGCCAAAAAAAAAATCAGTTGCTTTAATATGGAGATAAGCAAATATGTGTACTAAGCATGCACAGACAAGGAGTGTCTGCTCGAGTGCCTTCTATGTACCAACACACACACACAGTGAAGAAGCAATGTGTGGTATGGCAAAGAACAGAGTGAGTAGAGCAGGAACCCTGGAGGTAACTCTTGACTTAGGCCAGATGAAAAGGGCAGGATATTCCTGTAAAAATGCCCAGCTAGGGAAAACAGAACTTCCCTGACTGTTACCACTTATTACCAAGATGGACTGTCAAGAGTCTCATTCCACTTTCTTCACACCACCAGCAACAAAGGAAGTAATACCCGGATGGAACACACAATGTCAAGGCTCTCTTCTGAAGCAAAGAGAAGCAGACGGTCTAAGATGCACTCAGACATCATGGATTGTTTAGCCTCAAAGTAGAGGGACATTATTAGGCCCTATGTTCAAAATTATCCCTTCTCAAGTTTGTGAAGAGAAGAAATATGTGTATGTGACAGTTATTTTCTTTCAGAATATCCAATTTAATGTGCAAGACTAAATCAATGCCATAAATCACAAATTACAATTGAGATGTCCAGGAACACACACACACACACACACACACACACACGCATACACATTTATCTAGCACAAGAAAAAATATTTTGAAGGGTTACATGCAGAAGACATCATTTTTCAGCCAAGCTATCTTCACCTGTGAGTTGCACAGATGGATTTATGACAAGATGACCACCGCAGCTACGGAAGCCTGTCTGATATGGTGAGTGACTGGCCAGGGTAAGAGCATTTTGAGCCTACGCTCTGGACTTTTCAAGGTGATGAAAGCACAGTGCTAGAGACTTGTGTGTGGAGGTGTCTCTTCTCCAGGTGGGCTGAGGAAGAAAGTAACAGAAATCATTTTCCTCTGGTACCTTCTGACCTTCTTGACCTGTTGTTCTTTTTCGTTTGGTCTGTTTTGAGACAGGGTCTCACTATGCAGTTCAGGCTGGCCTTGAACTCACAGCAATCCTTGTGCCTCAGTCTCCCAAGTGCTAGAATTACAGGCATGAACCACCACATCCAGCATTATGACCTCTATCTTTTGAGTACAAAACAGATCTGATTAAATCAGTGTATGAAGGAATGTGAGGGCTCTTAGATATCTGCATCAGTAATGCGCCAATCCAATTGGCTGGGTGCTGCACAGCATGAAAAGGAGCGTAAGGACTGAGGAGGGACTGCAGCACCACATGGTGACACTCATACATTACTTCCGGCACCAGACCCCGCCTGTCACTGTGGCTGCCTGCGTGGGTGACCACCGTTAGTGTCCTGATTTTTAAGTATTCTTCCTTCTGTCACCTTCTGAAATTACAGCTTCACTAACCCTCACTTTTTTTTTTTAATCTAAAGAAACAACAACAAAAAAAAATACATGGAGGCAAAAAAGGGTAGAAATAATACAGAATTACAGAAAAATAAACTGTAAGAAATCACCAGTTGATAAGTTACATATTGTCATCTTAGAAATAGTTGTTCAGGTTACAAAATTAAAGTATGTAAAGTGACATTCAAATAGTGACACTGGGGCTGGGGGTTTAGCTCAGCGGCATAAGTGCCTGCCTCGAAAGCAGGCAGTCGTGAGTTCTATCCCTGGTACCGATAAAAAGGAAAAAGACAAAAAAAAAAAAAAAAAAAAAAAAAAAAAAAAAAAAAAAATAGTGACACTGCCAATAGATCTGCTCAATGATCTAACAAAAACTTAGTAATATGGTTATCAGTCCTACACACTTGTTTTTTATCTTATAGAGTAACCCTCACTTCTGAGGGAGTTAAATGACTGTAGTGTAGTCTTATGTACCTTTGAGACAGAATTTATTACTCTTTTTTAGTCAACCAAATTGCTAAGGATTACTTTTTGGTTGTTTGTTGAGACAAGATGTTACTGTAGTTCAGGCTGGCCTTGAAAACCATTATGCGTAGGCTGGCCTTGAACTCCTGATGATCCTTTTGCCTCAGTCTCTTAACTGCTGGGGTGACAGGAACAGCTGAGCTGGAGATCACTGACACATGGAGCGGAGACAGCACCCTTCCCCCTCTGGAGGAACATCCTGAGGGCATGCAGCTTGTTGTAGGCCCTAGAATGCCAGGATGGCCAGTCAAGAGAAGGGATGCTACATGACAGCAAGCTGCCACATGTATAAATAAAAGCACCAGCGGTGCCCTTCCTCCCACTCTGAGCTCAGCTTTCCACGTACTGTCTCCTGTCTTCATTTCTCCATCCTTTCATTGCCCTTCCCCTTGGAACTGTGAGAGCTGCACTGGACATGGCCCTGAGCTTATAGGTGATTAAAAAATCAGTGTTAGAATACTGAACGAGTTTAAGTAAGCAGTTTCTCTAAGCTTTAATAAATTTACACTGCTGTCAGCTGGGCTACAATACAGACCCCAAGAATTTAACAATGGAAATCTGTTTAAAAACATGACTCCCATACCCAGAACTGAGGGTGAAAGAACAACTGAAGCAGTGGATTGTTCCTTTTTATAAGATGTGGTCAGACAATACAGTGAATGTTTTTATTCATTGCAATGAAATACCTTTTTATTGTTTCTACAGCAGCAGAAATGTATTCTTCTACAGTTCTGGAGGCTGGAAGTCACAAGTAAGAGTGCCGCATGCCTGTATTCCCCTCAAGACCCTCAAACTCCTTTCTCACCTCTTAACTGCTGGTGGTTACATGCTGCCCTAAGTAGCCTTGGGTGTATACACGGCCAATATTCAAATTTTTAAAATGCATTACAGTAAAAGACACATTGCACTGATTCCCTAAAAATACTCCCCTCTCTCTTGCTCTGTTTATTTATCTCATCATTCTTGTCACTTTCTGAGGCCCTCTTTTGTGTCTTTAGTTGCCTATGGAGGCTGCCTCAATGTTAATGTCCTAAATACATTCCAAAATGCTTACCTTTCATAATCATTATGCAATTTCCATAAACATTTAATCAATGGTGTGTGATCAAAAAATACAGCAAACGTTTAAATAATTTTTTATAGTAAAAGATACATTGCCATTAACCCCTTCAAAATTCTTCCACTCCAAACACTTGTATACTACTGTTTTTGGCCATGTATCTTTTGCTATAATAAGTTTTAAAATTTTAAACACTAAACATAATTTTCAATTGTCCCTGGTATGATCTTATGCTTTGTTCAGATTGTAATCCTTCTGTTAATTATGAAATAGCTTACCAGATTTTTCAGCAGTGTGGAAAGTTCTTTTGTAAGAGTAGAAAACTTGACAAAAGCAGTGCCAAGATCAGGGTTGTCTCGACTTAAAAAATTACTCCCAAACTTATCAAGAACTTGTGCATAGTTTTCTTCATTTTGTACATGGTCTAAAAAAGAAGAAAAGGAATATGAGCTATTATTTGCCAAGGAAGACTTACTTTGAACAAGTGATCCCTAGAAACTCTCGAAAGGAGAAAGAAACCACATCCATTATTTATTGAAGATAGCCAGAAGGTGGCCAGTAATACACAGGATGTTCTTGTTCATCCCTGTTCCCATGCCCACTTCAGGGTGGCCCTGAACTCATGGAAATGCTCCTGCTTTAGCTCCCCGACTCTTGCATTACAGGTATGCACTACCACACTGGACTGTTCTCATCTTCTTTTTTTTTCTTTTTTAAATTTTTATCGGTACCAGGGATCAAACTCACGACTGCCTGCTTTCAAGGCAGGCGCTTATGCCGCTGAGCTAAATCCCCAGCCCCTTGTTCTCATCTTCTTAAAGGAGTTTTCCTCTTTATCTTTTATAGCATTTAGTTCATTTATATCCAACTATTCTACTAACTCCTCATACACAGAAGGGTCAAATTCTTATCCTATTTTTAAGCAATAAAGAAACTCAATAAAATTTTCCTTAGAAAATCAATCTTGGAATGGGAAAAAAATGTGTTCTAAGATATTTCTTTCTCTGTAACTAATCTTTTTAAAGTTATTTTTAAGAGAATAAAACCAAACAATGAAAGTGACACATGACTTCAAAACAGGATAACAGAAAATCAGTAATGACTACAATAACGTTTATCTTATCTTTCAAATAGCTGCCCATATCATTGGACATAATAAAATTAAACAGAATAAAACCAAACAAAACAATGAAAAAGATATAGGACCTCTTAACAAAATAGGAAATTAACAATGGCTACCATAATGCTTCTTATCTTCAAATAGCAGTCCAAACCATCAAACATAGGCATGTAAAATTAACCAAACAATATGAGAACTAAGTTGCTTTTTTACTTTAGTTGTTATCTTTTCAGAAATTTCAGCTGTGTGATCTCTAATTTCTACTCCGTCTGTGTCTCCTAAACTTTTTCTGTGTGGACTGGAAGTCTGAGATGGTATTTTGCTCCTCCATATTGACGTTTTCCCCATGTTCCTCTGCATCAGCCCACTGCTGTGCCCCAGCATAGTGGACTGGACTTGGTACCGGGGTTCCTCTGATCAGGGTTCCTGGAGTGGTAGAGACACACACGGTGGTGGTTCACCGATGCTTCCCTTCACTAGCATCTTCTCCAGGCTGGGGCTGGGCTCCTTGGATCTCTCTGGGCCACTAGCAGGTAGCCTCAGGGTGTGGCTTCTTCTCTGGGCCCACATACTAGGCTCCCCTCATGTCCCTAGACCACTGGTGCAACTCTGTAACTAATCTTGATTTTGATTTCTTTTTTGGAGACAGGGTCTTGCTCTATAATTCAGGCTGGGCATGAACTTACTATTAGCCCAGGTTGGCCTTGACCTTGGCAATCTTCCTGTCTCAGCCTCCTAAGAGCTGGGATTACAGGTATGTACCACTACACCCAGGAAATCTTGATTTTTTTTAATGCTGTCTAAATCCTAGGTCTGAGGAATGGCATTTGCAAAACATGTTTCACATACCACCTCTTGGTGCAAAACACACTGGCTTACCCTAGATCTGTGTTTAAAGTTTAGTTTCACCAACAATAAATTTGCTACTATGTCCACTTAACATCCATGACTACTACCTTAGATGGCATGTAAAAAGCACTAGTCTTTTATTTATGGGAAAATTTCTCTCTGAGCTCTTGCTTTCAGATCTGTAAAATGAGGCTAATATCTATCTTATAGAAAGTAATGCTAAGGAATTGACGAAGTACATAAAAAAATTCACAGCAGAGCCAATGCTCCAAGGCCGGGGCCTTGAACTTGTGGCGATCCCCTTGTCTCAGCCTCCCACCTGCTGGGATTACGGGATGCTCCACTATTTCTGGCTTAAGGCTTCAAACATACTGAATTGGCTGACAACTCACAAATTGATATCCTCAGTCCAGACCCCTAAAATATAGGCTTGTACATCCACCTGCCTATCATGTGTAGACTTCACACATCCAAAACACAACCGATCTTCAAGAACCACCTTTCTTCCATAGCACTTATCTCAGTCAGTCAAAGGTAAATAACATTACCATGCCAAATGCATCATTTTCCTTCTCAGAACCCCAGTACAAATCCTCTTGTTCCTATTGCTAAAACTCCTCCTCAACTGGACAACTTCTTACGTTCTCAGGCTAACAACTTTACTCACCATTATCTCTTGCCTCTGGCTTCTTTTAAAATTACTGCTGCTATTGTTACTGTTTTTGAGACAAGGTCTCACTATGTAGCCCAGTTTGGCCTCAACTTCCCAGAGCCCCTTCTGCCTTGGGCTCCTGAATATTGGGATTGTAGGAGTGTATCCCCATTCTTGGTGCCTCTGATTTCTCTGTTGCTGTTCTTGCTCTTTTACTGACCCAGCACCAGTATGAACCTTTTAAATATTGTAAGACCTTCGAACTCTTCTGACAGTCATTACCACTCATCAGATCCCATGTTCCCAAGTCTTTCAGGTCACAGAAAGCAGTCCTGAACTTCCCTATACCCTTGAAGTAAGCGTTAGCAGTGTAGAGGTGAAGGGTACTAATTCCACGTGCAAGCATCTGAGATGCCAGTGTTCAGCCCCCACTGTGGTATACGGACGACATGGACATGCACCGAGGCTCACAGGAGATGTACAGTATTTCCTGAACAAATAAATAAACAAATAAGCATCTACCAAAGTCATATCCTTAAAGGCATAATGCAAACATCACTTCTTCTTTACAGGCCTTTCCTTAGTTCTCTTGCTCATGTCTCCTGAATGTCTGCTGCAGTACCTTCCGTGTCCTATCACATCTGTGTATATATACTTCTTTCCCTGCCGCCAGGCCATGAGAGAAGGGTATGCAACACCCACCACTGCAGACTTCCCAGTGAGCTACACTTACAATGCCAGTACTCAGTGAATATTTGTTGATTTGAATTTAGTGAATTCCTTTTCAGAAAATTAAGAAGCATTCCCTTCTAAAATTTGGGAGCAAGGGACACTTATCAAACAGGGAAAACCAGGAAGGAAGTGTCCCAAGAGTCCAGGAATCAGTGGCTCTCCAATCATCACCCCATCAAACATTCATGATGCCTATGGTGGCTGGCAGGATTCTTGGCTGAGATGTTAAACAATACACGGTAGCTCTGGTGACTGCTGATTTCTTACACATTTGTGCATCTTGTGTTACATCTGTTCCTCTAGTAAAACCCCAATACAACTGGCTTGTGTGATAGTTTTCTCTGACTCAAATGCCTTCTGCAGCAGTGTGTGTCCCAGCGTTCTGCAAGGGAACAGTTATACTTATTAAGGAGATGAATCATGAAACATGGAGTGAGAGAGGCAGAAAATGAAACTGGCTGAGTAATATAGGGCTAAGTGAGGGGCCCTGAGTGCTATGTTAATCCTATAAGGAAAAATGCTGTTCTATCCTATATATATTTATGCACAGAATAACTAAGTCAAGTATTCTACATGTACACATATCTCACATATATAATTTTCTAGTGTAGATTCACATTTTATAATTTATAAGTTTAGTAAGGTTTACTTTGAGGGTCCTCTGCTTCCTTTTACAAGGGTAGAAATGTTGGAAATTAAAGGTAAGGTGCTTAAAATAGTGCCTGCGAGATGTGGCACAGACCCCAAACACTAGCCATGGTTTCCTCTACCAGTGAGACTGGCTATAATATACAAAAACCAGGGGAACAGAGGTCTCACATGTTTTAGGCTTTTGTTTTGTTTTGTTTTTGATACCGGGGATTGAACTCACAACCATGCGCTTGCAAGGCAGGCACTTATGCTGCTGAACTAAATCCCCCGCCCTTGTTTTAGGTATTTTTAAACATACATTATACATTAAACATATATTGTAAAAACATAAATAAATATATTTTTAACAGAATATTATACAATGGTACCTCAGTTCAGAAAGGCTTTTGTGTTTGGCGAAATTTTGTTTTTGTTTGTGAATTCCGCATCAGGTGACAAATATGACGACAGCCATCTTTTCCAGAACCATGGAACACATTAAGTAAAGATACCTCTGGAGCACACACTGTGTATTCATCCAGTGAGGACTTTTTCCAAAATTTCTGAACCAAAGCACTTACTAAACAGACCTTTGCTGAGTGCTGCCTACATACTGTAACCCTGGGTTAGACTTTACCAACTGACACTGCTTACAAACCGTCTCAACTGGCCTGCACTCCAACCTCTGTTCTTAGCACTGTACTTAAGATTGCCATTTATTAAGTACTGACTACACAGTGGGATCCACTGTGGTGATCCTAGAACCTAGATGATAACTCTTTTTTAAGACACATATTTCATCTATCAGTGAAACTCTGTGTGAAGCTAGGATTAGGACCCATATCCATTTGATCCCAAGTATAACATCCTTTTCCACTGACAAAATGAATCAAGAGTGCTATGGATGCTACAGTATCTACTCAAAATCTGCCATGTGATGGCCTTGACAGTAAACACCAGGAACAAAACACATGAAGACAACAGACTTCTTGTCCTGTAATATGAACAATATAATTGTTACGACAATAGTTAGGTGAAATTAAAATTTGATTATTTATGTGTCAGGAATTGTTCTAAGTATTTTTCTTGCACTATCTCATTCAATGCTCAAATGCTATCTATTACAACTCTCACTTTACAAATGTGAAATAGTGTACAGAGGTTAATAAAGTTGTCCAAGGTCACCCAACTAAGAAGTGGCGATGACAGGCACTGAGCCCTGAGCCTGGCTCCTTACCTAGTCAGTGAACTTGATTAAGTTCTGGAACTCTTAATTTGAGCCAAATTCCAAATAATTAGGAGACTTAAAAATCTAGGTCTTAGTGTCATTTTCTTCTAGGTGACCTTGGTCCGGTGACTAAAGCTCCTGAAGACCTTAATTTCTTCACCTATAAAACAGATAACTGCCCGTCGTTGCTAAGAAATGAAGATGTCAAAATGA